CCTGTAGAGTCGGTAGATGCTACTGTAGAGTCGGGAGATACTACTGTAGAGTCGGTAGATGCTACTATAAAGTTGGGAGATACTATTGCAGAGTCGGTAGATACTACTGTAAAGTCTGGAGATACTAATGCAGATTTGGTAGATAGTACTGTACAGTCAGTAGATACTACTGTAAAGTCGGTATATACTACTGTATATTTAGTATATACTAGTCAGAAGATACTACTGTGAAGTTAGTAGTTACTACTATCGTCAGTGGATACTACTATAGTCAATAGTTACTACTATAGAGTCGATAGATACTACTATAGAGTCGGTAGATACTACTATAGTCATTAGATAATACTACAGTCAGTAGATACCACTATAGTCAGTACACTGCTGCAGAGTCGGTAGATACGACTATAGAGTAATTAGATATTGCTAGAGTTAGTAGCTACTAATATAGTCAGTGGATACTACTATAGTCAATAGATACAATATATTCAGTAGATACTACTATAGTCATTAGATACTACTGTCATCATAATTTACTACTATAGAGTTGGTTGATACTACTATAGTCAGTAGATACGACTGTATAGTTAGTAGATACTACTGTCAGTAGCTACTACTAAGATCAGTAAATACTACTAGTCAGTAGAGACTACTATAGAGTTAGTAGTTACTACTATAGTCAGTAAATACTACTACAGTCAGTAGTGACTACTATAGAGTCGGTACATACGACTATAGAGTCGGTAGATACTACCATAGAGACAGTAGATACTGCTAGAGACGGTAGATACTGCTATAGTCAGCAAATACTGCTATAGTCTGCAGATACTACTAGAGTCAATAGATACTACTATAGATTCAGTCGATACTACTCTAATCATTATAAACTACTGCAGAGTCAGTAATTACTACTATAGACTCCGTAGATACTACCGTAGAGTCGGTAGATACTACTATAGAGTCAGCAGATACTATAGAGTTAGTAGTTACTACTGTAGCCAGTGGTTACTACTATAGTCAATAGATACCATTGATTCAGTAGATACTACTATAGTCATTAGATACTACTGTAGAGTCAGTATTTAATACTAAAGAGTTGGTTGACACTACTATAGAGTCTGCAGATACTGCTATAGAGTCGGCAGATACTGCTATAGAGTTAGTAGTTAATACTATAGTCAGTAGATACCACGATGCTCAGTAAACACTGCTACAGTTAGATACTACTACGGTCAGTAGATACTACTACAGAGTCAGTAGATACTACTGTAGAGTTAGTAGTTACTACTATAGTCAGTGAATACTACTATAGTCAGTAGTTACTACTATAGAGCCGGTACATATGACTATAGAGTCGGTAGATACTACCATGGAGACGGTAGATACTGCTAGAGACGGTAGATACTGCTATAGTCAACAAATACTGCTATAGTCTGCAGATACTACTACAGTCAAAAGTTACTACTATAGATTCAGTCGGTACAACTCTAGTCATTATAAACTACTGCAGAGTCAGTAATTACTACTATAGACTCTGTAGATACTACCGTAGAGTCGGTAGATACTACTATAGAGTCAGCAGATACTATAGAGTTAGTAGTTACTACTGTAGCCAGTGGATACTACTATAGTCAATAGATACTATTGATTCAGTAGATACTACTATAGTCATTAGATACTACTGTAGAGTCAGTACTTAATACTAAAGAGTTGGTTGATACTACTATAGAGTCGGCAGATACTACTATAGAGTTGGCAGATACTACTATAGAGTCAGGCGATACTGGTCAATAGATACCACCATGCTCAGTAAACACTGCTACAGTTAGATACTACTACGGTCAGTAGATACTACTATAGAGTCAGTAGATACTACTGTAGAGTTAGTAGTTACTACTACAGAGTCGGTAGATGCTATTACAGAGTCGGTAGATGCTACTATAGAGTTGGTAGATACTACCGTAGGGTCAGTAGATACTACTATAGTCAATAGATACTAGAGTCAGTAGATACCACTATAGTCAGTATATACTGCTGCAGAATCGGTATATACGACTATAGAGTCAGTAAATACTGCTACAGAGTTAGTAACTACTATAGTCAGTAGATACTACTGCAGTCAGTAGTTACTGCTATAGAGTCGGTAGATACCACAATAGAGTCGGTAGATACTACCATAGAGTCAATAGATACTACTATAACCAGTAGATAATACTACAGCCAAAATATTCCACTAGTCAGTATATACTGCTGCAAAGTCACTAGTAACGACTATAGTCAGTAGAAACTGCTATAGTCAGCAGGTACTGCTATAACGTCAGCAGATATTACTATAGACTCCGTAGATACTGCTATAGAGTTAGTAGTTAATACTATAGTCAGTGGATACTCCTGTAGTGGGTTCTATTGAGACGCACTCTTGAGTATGGAGGCAACACGTTTTATTCACTAACATAACACAGGTAAGTCTACACTCACGAGATAACGACTAAGGGTGGTGACCACCCTGGATAGCTACATAACACTCACGGGAACACTATATAATCTGCTGGGCCAGCTAACATGTTGCCCGGCTCTCGACGTCTTCTCTCACGCCCGAAGACTGAGGATCGAGGACTTGGCGGGCAGGCCCCATCTCTCTACAGCTGCACTCCTACGACGGCGACCCCGCCTGCCTCTCCGCCCTGGTTTATATCCGCTCCGGCATGGGCCACACCCCATTCCAGATTCTTCTCGAGGGCTCTGATACTTCATCACGTGTCCCTCTCACCCCCCTTTGGGGGTAGCCACTTCCATCTCATCCGGTCACGTGTCCTCCCGGGTTCACCCAAAGGCCACGTCCTTACGCGCTCTCTCTCACCATTGCCAGGGCCATACCCCTATAAAGTCGGTAGATACTACTGTAGGGTCAGTAGTAACTACTACAGTAAGTAGATACAACTATACAGTCAGTAGCTACTACTGGGCTCAGTAAAGACTACTGTACAGTCAGTAGATATAACTACAGTCAGCAGATACTACTATAGTCAGCCAATACTACGAAAGAGAGTAAATAGATACTACTATAGAGTCAGTGGATACTAATGTAGAGCTAGATACTACTGTACAGTCAGATACTACTATAGAGTCAGTAGATACTACAACCTCTATTGTATGTAGGGTGATAGGTATATATGCTTACGCGGGGGTAAAAATATTTTTTGAGGGGGGGGTCGACAATTTTTGGAAACCTTTTAGATCAACTATTTACCCCCCACTTTCTATAACTTTTTGGACTTCTGCAAGCCTCTTATAATTTTGTTGACGGACAAATGGACAGACGGCACACCGGGCTTTCACAATAGCTTAGAATTTGTGTATGTATATGTTACGTTTTTAAGAGAAGTTTTGAAATATATTTTTCCACGGGGCAACGCTGGGTACTTCCCGCAAGTATCTTATATAGATTAACTAGCTGTACTACCCGGCTTCGCCCGGGACTTGGATCCACCACATACGACCGCTTTGTCTCCCCAGTGGCGATGTTCACACACCACAGCAGTTAGTCGTTTGAGGCTGAGTCGACCTAGGGGAGGCCCAGGACCGGTTAAAATACTCGTCACCGGTGGTGGCCGTGAGCGGGAATCGAACTCGGGTCGCCGGGTTCGTAGCGCGGCGCGCTAACCAAGACACTACAATGCGTTACGCTTCCACATGCGCGGGTCACGTGACAGATTTGACGTCACAGCTCACTTGCCGTGCAATAAAAATATGCATTATTGAGCACGCCCCGGCAAAAAAACCCAAAAGTGTATTTTTATCATTTTTGCTTGGTGTACAGTCTGGAAAGTACCCACATGGCAAATTTCCAGTTTGTTGCATATCGGGAAGTACGCTAAACATTTTGAACAGACACACATTCACAACTCTGCCTTTTATATATATGGAGATATAGTGACACGAATATTGAAAATTGTGACATGAACAAAGGCGATTCATGGCCAAATAACGATATTAATTATGGCAATGGTGGTGGTGATGATAGTGATAACAATGCCAATGAAGGTAGCCATGATGATGATGCTGACAATGTTGTTGTCTCATTGTCTCGTGCCCTCTTCTTTCCAGAGGGGTGGTGGTATTCAGCACCTCCCTTCACTTCTCCCGGCCCTACATCAGTCTCACCATATCGTCAGTCTCCATCCCGGTCAATTAACTTTGTCATCCGTCCATCGCCTTCTTGCTCTACCTCGGGAGCTCTGACCAGATTGTGCATCCTTGTACTGTGGCCTTTACCAGACAACCTAACGTCAGTGGCGAATGATATATGAACCTATCTTGAGCTTCTTCATTCACCAAAACAGTATGTAGCAGCGCGGTGAAGTATGGTGGAACAAACCCCCATAATGAACACGGTTTGGGGAGGCCTTCATCCAGCAGTAGATTGACAAAAGAAATTAATTTTAAGTTGGCCTTACAGCCCATCCCTTATTACAGGATGACAACCTTAAAAGAAGTGTCTGGTATTTGAAAATTATTACTATTAGGCATTTAAAAATGCATTTATTCATTGATATATATTCTAACACTACCGATAAATACATCCATTCAAGCGTGTAAGATTAAATAAATTTTAGGTGGCCACATGGCTCAGAGGTCAGACCACTGAGATCCTGGGTTTGAACCTGGGTTTCAGCCGAAAACAAAGCGGCCAGTGGAAGCATATTTCACAGAACTGCTTCTGAGATCCCTTTATTCACCCGGGGGTGCACTTTCCCACACTCTGCGACAGAAAAATATCCGTCACACAGCAATAAAACTGATATTTTTACTTCTCAGAGCTAGAAAGCATCCAAATTAAGTGAACAATTTTTGAATGACATAATGCGACGAGTTCTGTGCAGTCACCGGTGACTGGAGACCATCATCTTGCTACACTTGAAGACCCAGTATAACTGCGAGCGACTTAAATCCCAATTCATACCCAGGATCTCAGCGATGCCTTGTTCTTTTGCTTTAAATACCTTCAGCTGCAGCAGCAGTTATGGTCTGGAAAAAGTCGAAGTCTATCCTGAAAAAGATAAAAATCACAAACCAAGTGAGAACTACGCAAACTTCAAGACAATTTGTTATGCAATGTGCCAAGTTGGATTGTATTCAAACTCTATATTAAACGGTCAACTATTCAACACTCCCACTGAACTTGCTTTCCAGTATTCCGCTTCCCAAAAATGTATACAAAAGAATAAAACACCAAAAAAATGAAAATCATGTCCTTAATTTAACCATGAGAGAAGCACCCATAAAGTCGCTTAATATTTATTGCAAGAGTAACCTGGAATTGCACGGTCCTGATTTCCATGTGTTCAAATGTTCCCACATGTGTGACGATGCTTCTATCACCAACAATGGGATACATCAGTGGCAATGTGTTTCACTACTTTCATTCATAAATGAATCTGACCACTTATTTAAATTGTGGAAATTTGGCTGTCTTTTTGCAGCTCTTGTCTAAAAGGTTTTGCTCGAAGTTTTTAGATCACTGTTGTAAATTGTTTCACGAAATGAAACCACGACATTTCATAACCATTTTTTACTGTCATAAAAAATGCCTTCCAGCAAAATGTTGTTTGGCACTGAGAGAGAGAAAACAATGTACTGTACACGACATCGTTGCACTAACTACTCAATATACAAACTGCTGCATTGAGGCAACTGATATTACCATGTTAATTGGCTGTAGTAATTACATTTTAATTATAATTTTCAGTGTTATTTAAAAGTTTGAGACATTTCACCTTTCCCCAGCAATTCAATGAATTGTCATAATTTGGCCTCGAAATTTTACGCAAGAATTTATGTTTTTTTTACATCTATGGTATCAATTACATTGTTTTTTGGTATTTTCACTCCATTAGCTCTGATATCGTTATCATGTCATTTGCATAAAATAGAGAAATTATCACTTTGCAAAAGCACAATTTGAAGCACGTATCATGAACGTAAGAATGAATGATCAGATCATGCTAAGTTATACATGTACATGTTATGGACAAACACAGGATGGTAATTCTACAGTTCAACTACTGGGAGAATGTATTTGGACAAACTGGCTCCAATCACTGGGCTCTTTAGGCTGCCATACATACCTGCATGCAGCAAGTGTGAATTAGGGTTAGGATGCCCTCTGCTGTTAGTGGCTATGCACATGTACGTCTGCCAATCATATCATGCCATTAACTCAATACCTGGTCAACCAATACCTGTGGTCTCCAACCAGCGGGCCTTCGACACTTTACGTGGCCTCAAACTGAACCTGGTTTGTCAGAAGCAGTTTGTTGACATCATTGTCATTTAATGGTGAATGGTGACTGTTGCTGCGCATTTGTGTATGTGGGAGAGTGTGTGGATTGCCTCTGGCTCCAGTCACCATGAGGGGTGGACAGTCGTCTACTCGGGGCAGGAGAATGCCAAACAGGGAGTGGCTTTTCTTCAGAACAAAATTATGAAGGGGACGTGGGAGGGTGGCAGTGAAGTATGGGAATCCGTAAGCCCCAGGCGACTGTGGGCTCGCCTCCCCATCAACAGGAGGTGGTAAATGGTGGTGGTTGCTTATGCCTCCACTGAAGATGAACATCAGTGCAGGCAAGGCCGATGAATCAAATGACATCTATGGCCTCCTGTCACAGGTGCTAGCTAAAGTGGCCCCTCGGGATAGTTAACATGTTGGGTGACTTGAATACGAGTGTGTCATGACACCGGCACCTGGACAGGAGTGATTGGAAGACATGGGCCAGATCAGCTCAATTACAACAGTTGGAGGCTGCTAAACTTTTGTGCAGCCCATGGGCTTGTAATTACCAACACGCTGCTCCAGCATTGGCGCATACACATAACATCATGGATGCACGCCGGGTCCAAGCAAGAACATCTGCTGGACTATACTGTGACGGAACAGCGGATGCGGGCCCATGTCCTTGACACCAGGATCTACCGTGCAGCTGATCTGCCCACTGACAATTGGCTTGTCATCTGTACGATGTGCCTGCCATTCTTAAACTCTGGTGGTGGGTGTCCATCTTGGACCCCATTCAAAACCAGTAGCCTGGTCTGAGGTAGCTGATGAAAGATGCAAATGAGAATTTCATCATCGCTTGCAGCTAGGGTTGGCATCGTCCCCCCCCCTCCTCCTGATGCCGAGGGGAAATGGACGAGGTTTAGAACTGTGGCTCATGCAACTGCAATGGGTGCTTTGGGTACACGGTGCAACCCCCCAGAGGAGGAAGTGTTCCGGCTGGCTGAGAAAAATTGACAGGCCCACTGCCACGATATACAGCAATCTACATCAGAGAATGAGGCTAACCGCCTTTGCTCGGAGGTTCGGAGAGCCGTACAGCACTGCAAGGAAAAGTGGCGGTCGGAGGTTACCGAGGAGACGGAATCTGCCTCAGTAGTCCGCGATCACAAATCACTCTTTCATTCCATCAAAAAAGCTACTTGCAGCCCCACACCAATCACCATCCTTAGGGCAAAGAAAGGTGATCTGATCTCTAATCCCCAGGAACAGGTTTGCAGATTTGCTGAGCATTTCTGTGAAGTCTTGGGGGAAGGGAAATCTCTCAGCCCAGAAAGTATCATGGGGCAAAGTGGGAATTACCCTGAGGCTGCAGTGCCTAAAATATTGAAAGTACCATATTTTCCCGCATATAGCCCGCATTCGCATATAATCCGCAGACGCATATACCCCGCAAAAATAGCGTTTTATGTAAAGCAAATTTCAGATAGCCCGCACCTCCATATACCCCGCATGCAATCATATATTTAACGTCGTTACCGCAGCTTAATTCCATCATATTAATACGAAGTTTACATTTGTAATACATTCCACTATCAATTGTTAACATTAAAATCATAACGTGCACAAAGAAAACAAACTAACTGGAAACGAGTCAACTTAAAACAGTGAATAAGTAACAAAATAAAATATCCAATAAATACGGTAGTAGTTACCCCCTATGAGTGGCTGGCTGAAGTGCCATTTATTGCAAATGTTTCCTTTTATCTGCAATTTGCCACAACGCTTTCCCTCGGATAAGTGGAGTAAATTTGCAGATAACCCTACGGATAATAAAATCCATGGAATTGAAAATTCTCCTGTACTCCTAACATACTTCTCTGCTAGATCTTTGGCGAACTTGTAGCATGTTTTACGTGTCTTAGTTAACAACCATGTCTTTGATCCATTAACTAAAACTTACAATATGCACATCTTCACACAAGTCAATGAATAACATTATGGAGTTTCCAGCCACAAAACACCCCCGTGACTGCATGCAAATTGACTATATAACTGTACGACAACACGTGACATAAAAACCCATCATCAGCATTCGTCATCAGCATATGACCAAGAATTACAAGATCACTGCAGATGTCACATGGGCACAGTTTCCTTGCTGTCTTCATCATCATGCCATGGTTTATCCACTGCTAGGTGAAGGCCTCTCTAAGCCAACAATATTCCTGAGAATCCTGTGAGACAACAGCCCACCCGGTAACATGCACACGAGACAATTTCATCACTCCATCTCGTGTTCCACCGCAAGGCTATTATTATTATTGGCCATCGTTCACCATCGCCTCTTGTCTCTTTAGTTCCTTTCCATCTTCGTTTAGAAACAATGAGTTCCGTCAACCTCATTCTATTTTGCGCCAGCTACACGGCTTCCTTTTACTTATAGCATGTTCGAAAAGAACCAAACGTAACAAATTATATCAAACGGACAAACACATTCGCGTAAAATGCGATCGGGCCCGACGACGCACACTCACTTGAGATGTTTGGGGCTCCACGGGAGGTTGCCCCTCATCCCGATGCCCATGTTCTCTGTCACCGCAGCAATGAGGTCCAAGTACTTGCGTCCATCAGGCATCTTTACACGACCAGATAGAACCTTAAAACGAAACCCAAACAAAATTGAAGACTGAGAACGGGATAGACCAAGATAGCAAGGACCAGAAAAAAACCACACAAATGAAACTTACAAAGACGATAAAAAAAAGGAAAATCAAGCATTACTCATGGATTATGAAACTATTTCCGATGTGTACTTTTCCTTGTAAGTACAGTACTGTACTTGAATAGCAGTACTGAAGGGTGTCAGGGCAAACTGTGTTTGGATAGTTGCTAAATTGTCCTTTTTTGCACTGGTTTGTGTCTTAGCATTTTGGGCCAACGCTTTGATGGATTAGCATACATCTCAACCCGTTTAGTCGTATTCTTGTACAGGGAAATTTTGTTTTTAGGTTCATACGGCATACAGCCGTTTCAATACGGGCAAAATTATATTTGTTATATTTGTTTGTTTCTCCCTTGTGATGTGACTAAGTAGGATAAACGTTGAGGTTTATAAGGGCACGGTGTGACCAATATAAGGTCTGAATTGGTCTGTAATAAGTCAGGGTACTGATAAGGGGTTGACAAGTATGAATTTTGCCGACTTCCAATAAGTCGCGACCCTAAGAGCAACACAACTTTATACCACAGTTGAGCGCTCATTTTACACAAAAAAACGTGTACTCAGCCTTTGTACATTATGCAAGCAAAACCCTCGGCAAGTTCCTCAACAAGTGCAGTGCATTCAAATAAATAAAGACCACCGTCAACATTTTATTGGAGCCGGTCACTGACATTCGCTCAAATATGTTTTCATGGTGACCCAACAAAGACAACTGCAGTGCATTTCTTCAAGAACTGATGACGATTACGGTTTTTTTTTTACACAATTTTACACGTTTTTTTGCGTGTTAATTTACACGTTTTTGCGTGTTAATTAACACGTTTTTTTGCGTGTTTCTTCACACGTTTTTTGCGTGTTTATTTACACGTTTTTTGCGTGTTTATTTACACGTTTGTTGCGTGTTTATTTACACGTTTTTTGCGTGTTTATTTACGTTTTTTGCGTGTTTATTTACACGTTTTTTGCGTGTTTATTTACACGTTTTTTGCGTGTTTATTTACGTTTTTGCGTGTTTCTTTACACGTTTTTTGCGTGTTCATTTACACGTTTTTTGCGTGTTTATTTACACGTTTTTTGCGTGTTTATTTACACGTTTGTTGCGTGTTTATTTACACGTTTTTTGCGTGTTTATTTACACGTTTTTTGCGTGTTTATTTACACGTTTTTGCGTGTTTATTTACACGTTTTTTGCGTGTTTATTTACACAATTTTTGCGTGTTTATTTACACGTTTTTGCGTGTTTCTTTACACGTTTTTTGCGTGTTCATTTATACGTTTTTGCGTGTTTATTTACACGTTTTTTGCGTGTTTATTTACACGTTTGTTGCGTGTTTATTTACACGTTTTTTGCGTGTTTATTTACACGTTTTTTGCGTGTTTATTTACACGTTTTTGCGTGTTTATTTACACGTTTTTTGCGTGTTTATTTACACATTTTTTGCGTGTTCATTTACACGTTTTTTGCGTGTTTATTTGGAACCTTAGGTGAGAGCTGGGCAAGCGTGAAAGGGCGAAGTGGGGTGGGTGCGCAGCACATCTAAGGAGTAAAAAATGAAAATCAAAACAATGAATGCACACAACTCCGTAAAAACCCCGTTCGTAGTGAATGAGGAAAATTAATTCTAGCACACAACAACCCCGACAGCTGACAACGTTAACATGAACCGGGCCACACAGAGAGCAGGAGCGAGTTGAATTGTGGTCTGATGATGATGATGATCATCATCGGCCCGCCGCATCTCACCAACACACCTCGCCACGCTGCTGCGCGCCGGTCGTCGAAGTCCCGTGGAAGTCCAGGACCCGGCGCGGATATTAAACATAGAAAATAAAAAAACATAGAAAATAAAAAACGAAAGCGCCACCCCGATGTTGGCCGCGGCGGAAACTGCGATCGGCTTCTTGTTCGGAATTTCAACAGCGCGGGTGCGCTAACCGAAGCGCCACCGCTCTCGCCCAGCAGCGGACATTCGCGATTTGCACGCCTGCTGTGTACAGTGTGCAACACCGCCGCTACACGTGCTTGTAACTGATTGCGTTTGAGCTGCTGTATAATTAGTGGAGCGTCGCTGTCGCTCGCGAGTTAATCGACCCCCCTTATAAACTCGTGCACAGCGCACGTGCCTTCGTCCAGCAGTGGACTTGCAAAGGGATTCTCAATTGTGAATGTTATCATTACTTTTGGCCTATAATACTAAGGCGAACGGTTCACGATTCGCATAACGCAACGGCTACATAAACCACGGCTACAACCCCCCACCCCCTTCCGAAGGTACAGTGATAAAAGACAACTTTGGAAACTAAAGTTTGAAGTTCCTGAGCACGGATATATGGCAACCGGACAACGTCGATTGCAACGTGCCTCAAACACCACCCAACAAACAGCAGCGGGCTTTACAACAAAAGAGGCAAAACACCGAGCCGACGTTGTGAACATGAACATACGCAGTGCGAAACACCGCGGGTACAGTACGCATTTCAGCGGGAAATAAACTTTTACAACGCAAACCGCATCACGCGCGTTATATTTTGCTCACCAGCACCCGTGACAACAGTCTTTTATAATATATCTGTGTGTCTGTGTGTGTGTAAAACAAGATGCACTACTTGTACCGTACGACGAGAGTTCGTGAAAGCTGTCCGTACCGCAGATTTTGGGGACGGGAAATTTTCTGGGTTGACGGCGTTGGCGGGAAAGGCGACTGCGATCAGTTGAACGAGCCTCGCCCCTCCCCCCTTGCTTCGCCCCGCCCCCTCTTGCGTCGCCCCTCCCCCCTTGCTTCGCCCCTCCCCCCTTGCTTCGCCCCTCCCCCCCTTGCTTCGCCCCTCCCCCCCTTGCTGCGCCCCTCCCCCCTTGCTTCGCCCCCCCTGCTTCGCCCCTCCCCCCCTTTGCTTCGCCCCTCCCCCCTTGCTTCGCCCCTCCCCCCCTTGCTTCGCCCCTCCCCCCCTTGCTTCGCCCCTCCCCCCCTTGCTTCGCCCCTCCCCCCCTTGCTTCGCCCCTCCCCCCCTTGCTGCGCCCCTCCCCCCTTGCTTCGCCCCTCCCCCCCTTGCTTCGCCCCTCCCCCCCTTGCTTCGCCCCTCCCCCCCTTGCTTCGCCCCTCCCCCCCTTGCTTCGCCCCTCCCCCCCTTGCTGCGCCCCTCCCCCCCTTGCTTTGCCCCTCCCCCCTTGCTTCGCCCCCCCCCCCTTGCTTCGCCCCTCCCCCCTTTGCTTCGCCCCTCCCCCCCTTGCTTCGCCCCTCCCCCCCTTTGCTTCGCCCCTCCCCCCCTTTGCTTCGCCCCTCCCCCCTTGCGTCGCCCCTCCCTCCTTGCTTCGCCCCTCCCCCCTTGCGTCGCCCCTTTCCCACCCTTGCTTCGCCCCCCCTGGCTTCGCCCCCCCCCTTGCTTCGCCCCCCTCTTGCGTCGCCCCCCCCCCTTGCTTCGCCCCCCTCTTGCGTCGCCCCCCCTTGCTTCGCCCCCCCTTGCTGCGCCCCTCCCCCCTTGCTTCGCCCCCCTCCCCCCTTGCTTCGCCCCACGTGACCCACAGCAAATGAACCCCAACAAATCGAGAGAGGACATCGCTAGATGTCGCTACAGGAGACGTTTAAGACTGCAGCGTGCAGCGGTCCCCCAAACCTTTTTGGCACCAGGGACCGGTTTCGTAGAAGACGATTTTTTTCACGGACCTGGGGTGTTGGGGGTGGTGGTCCATCATTGGGTCTTTTCCCCTTTTCAAAGAAGCTCCCAGCGACGTTTGTTATTTTACTCATTTTGGCTACTAGGGGTTAGCTTTGTGGGCTTACCAAAACTGTGACTCACCGCTCTGCTCTTGCTGCTGTGCGGCCCGGTTCCTCACAGGCCACGGACCGGGGGTTGGGGACCCCTGTAATTTAGAGCAGCTCAAAAACATCACCCGTGGGGGAACATCGCCAATGATTGCAACGAGTTAGGTTCCAGAAGGTCTGTTCGTAAGTCGATTTGTTCGTAAGTCTCAACTTTACAACTGTCAATTCCAAACATGGTGTACGGCATGTACACTCAATGGCTTTAAACGTCGTATACTCTCCTGTAGATGTAGATGCCACTGGTTCTTCATGTTCTGTAGATATAGATGCCAATGTTTCTTCATGTTCTGTAGATGTAGATGCCACTGGTTCTTCATGTTCTGTAGATGTAGGTGCCACTGGTTCGTTATGTTCTGTAGATGTAGATGCCACCGGTTCTTCATGTTCTGTAGATGTAGATGCCACTCGTGTTCTGTAGATGTAGATGCCACTGGTTCTTCGTGTTTTGCAGATATAGATGCCACTGGTTCTTCATGTTCTGCAGATGTAGATGCCACTGGTTTTTCATGTTCTGCAGATGTAGATGCCACTGGTTCTTCGTGTTTTGCAGATGTAGATGCCACTGGTTCTTCATGTTCTCCAGATGTCACCACCGCCATCTATTGCGGTTAAATCAAATCCTCCAATATTCTGCGCTGTGGGTTAGGCACCAATGGGGCACATGAGGAAAGTCTCTTTTGTGGCAAACCTGTGCTTAAAATTCACAAAAAGAACAGGACATTAGTAGTTTTGTCAGATGGTTTTCTACAGATTCTTTGATTTTGACTTGGGGGAGCTGGCTTCTTTTCTCATGGTGGTCTGCAAACTTTTCCAATTTCTTGTTAAATGACCCATGCCTTTTTAACAAATGGCCACATAGATTCAGAAATTCATATCGATAGACGTTTTCTTTGCAAATGTTAATTTAAAAAATCACCCACATTCACCATATAATCTTTTAAATCAGGCCATTCCTCACATGTTGCGCCTTTAAATACTCTTCATAAAGACAGAATAAAAAAGATGCATTCACACGTCACGCAAATAAAACACACAGCCACGAGCCAGGCAGGAGTCGAATCTACAATCTTTTTATACGTAGTCAGACGCGTTATCCATTGCACCACTTGCCCCATGTTACTTCGCTTTTGTCAGACCTGTCTGTACAGTAACTGTGGCTCTGTAAGCACTGGGTGCAGGTTTGATTCTCCATTGTTACTGGTGTATGTCGTAGTAGTAAAGTTATCGAATATCTTACAGGGTTCTTTTGATAGCTCAGTTGGTAGAGTGGAGGACTGTAGTTGGGTTTTGGTTGGGTTGTGGTTGAAATCCTTAGGTTGCTGGTTCAGCTTGAAGGAGGTTGATTTATTTTCACCAAATTCTGAAATTATTGTTCAAACAATGAAGTCTCAACACGCCTGACGTGTGCGTGAGAAAAGTGTCTTTTGTGGCAAACCTGGGCTTAAAATTCATAAAAAGAACAGGACATTAGTAGTTTAGTCAAATGGTTTTCTACAGATTCATTGATTTTGACTTGGTGGATCTGGCTTCTTTTCTCATGGTGGTCTGAAAACTTTTGCAATTTCTTGTTTAATGACCCATGCCTTTTTAACAAATGGCCACATAGACTCAGAAATTCACGTCGATAGACGTTTTCTTTGCAGATGTTAATTTAAAAAAATCACCCACATTCACCATATTTTCGTTTAAGTCAGGCCATTCCTCACATGTTGCGCTTTGAAATACTCTTGAGAAAAACGTAATAAAAAAGAAAGCATTCACACATCACGCTAATAAAACACAGCCACGAGCCAGGCAGGAGTCGAACCTACAATCTTCTGATCCCTAGTCAAACGCGTTATCCATTGCGCCACTGGCCCCAAGTTCTTTAGCTCTTGCCAGACCTGTCTGTATAGTAACTGTGGCTCTGTAAGCACTGGGTGCAGGTTTGAGTCTACATTGCTACCGGTGTATGTAGTAGCAGTGAAGTGATAGACGCTCTTACAGGGTTCCTTCGATAGCTCAGTTGGTAGAGCGGAGGACTGTAGTTGGTTTGTGGTGGAAATCCTTAGGTCGCTGGTTCGACTCCGGCTCGAAGGAGGTTTATTTATTTTCACCAAATTATGCAATTATTGTTCAAACAATGAAGCCTCAACGTGCCTGACGTGCACATGAGGAAAGTGTTTTTTGTGGCAAACCTCGGCTTAAAATTCACAAAAAGAACAGGACATTAGTAGTTTAGTCAGATGGTTTTTTACAGATTCTTTGATTTTGACTTGGGGGATCTGGCTTCTTTTCTCATGGTGGTCTGCAAACTTTTCCAATTTCTTGTTTAATGACCCATGCGTTTTTTAACAAATGGCCACGTAGATTCAGAAATTCACATCGATAGACGTTTTCTTTGCAAATGTTAATTTAAAAAATCAACCACATTCACCATGTTTTCGTTGAAATCAGGCCATTCCTCACATGTTGCGCCTTTAAATACTCTTCATAAAGACAATAAAAAAACATGCATTCACACATCACGCAAATTAAACCCACAGTAACGAGCCCGGCAGGAGTCGAACCTACAATCTTCTGATCCGTAGTCAGACGCGTTATCCATTTCACCACACTCCCCATGTTCCTTAGCTTGTGTCAGACCTGTCTGTACAATAACTGTGGCTCTGTAAGCACTGGGTGCAGGTTTGAGTCTACATTGCTACTGGTGTATGTAGTAGTCGTGAAGTGATAGATTATCGTTTAGGGTTCCTTCGATAGCTCAGTTGGTAGAGCGGAGGGCTGTAGTTGGTTTGTGGTGGAAACCCTTAGGTCGCTGGTTTGACTCCGGCGTGAAGGAGGTTGATTGATTTTCACCAAATTATGAAATTATTGGTCAAATAATGAAGTCTCA